TGTTTATGGAGACAAACTAGAAAGTCAGACCCACTTGCCACGCCCACTTGTCATATCCCCTCTTTCATAAACTGCCAACAATTCTCTCTAAAATTTTCTATTATATCAGTTGTGACCAACAGAAATACAAAGTTTTAGTCTGTCAAATGATGTACAATGACACAGAGTATTGTCTATTTTGTCTTCAGTTTCAAAGCTTCTCTCATGGAGTTCAGCTCGAGTAGCTAAAGTAATTATTTTAAGGCTGTTATGCCTTAATTAGAAAGCCAGTTAAATTATAAAAGTTATAGGCCATTATTTGCTTTGTGCATGTTGTTATTCTGTGTTTTTAGGTACATTCTTTAAATAAATAAAAATGATTTCATATACTAGTACCATCATCACCAAAACGTAGGCTTCAATTCCATCGGCAAATACTATATCTTGTTTTTCCTGTATATTTTTATTTATTCTTTTAAAATACCCAAAATTACAGATTTATTAGGTTAGATTAGGTAACATAATGAAAAAATAATACTAATACTCCATGAGGTACACTTGTGTGTTACATCATTCAATACAGTAATTTGAGCCATGCATTTGCCAAGTGATTTATAATTTCTATGGCAGGATTATTATATAGACATGGTTCAAAAGGTACTAAAATAACAAAAGTAAGTAGAAATAAATGTAAACTGCTATAACCCTTAAGGTATTTAGAATACACCATTGTAGTTTCCTGTTACAAATTGTAGTTATTCTAGAAACAAAAAAGTGTAATTTAGATAATCTAATATTTTTTTTATGTTGGTTACAAGGTTGGTCAAATCTACTGAGTTAATATAGAGTTAGGGTAGGGAAAATAACAGATAAAATATAAAGTTTACCTGAAAAAAAAAAGTTTAATATCTTTAGGAAATTTCGAAGGTTACAAAAATAAAATTTGAAAATTTTCCAATGAAAAAAGTATTTTCAATCTTAACATGAGAATCACACTCTTACTTCATATATTCTTTGAAAAAATACTTAACTAAAAAAACCCGATTCTTTTGTGAACAAAAGACTTGTAATGTTTAATGAAAGTCTGCCAAATTTCATGAAGATACATGTACCACAACTGACGGTTATTGGTGGTTACAAGGTTGGTGTGATCCACCAACCCCATATGAAAAGTTAAAAGATTCAAACAAGTAATAAATTATCAAATGTGATTCAATCTATAAAAAAAAACATTCTAGAAAATGTATATTTTGTACAAGTCTTGTGCTGTTTGAAATTTATGGTATGACAATTTCCTACTCTTTTTTTACGTACATATTCCATTTGTATGTTCATTACAAACACACACACACTAACTGTTTACAGTAAGAAATCAGGATTTTCCTTGATCAAATAACTAGACGTGAAAAGAATAAAACTGATTAGTTTGAAGATATGTACAGAAAACTGAAACTATTCATACGAGCTTCTGTAGAAGAAACAGTGTTCAATTGAATAGTGAATCAGTAAAAAATTTGAAAAAGCCCATTAGATACTTTCATATGCTGGAAAAAATAAGAGAACTGTTACGAATGCAAATACCAGGAAGTCAAGAGATAAGAAAAACACAGTACAGTAACTGATGGAATAAACTCAGAATTGCAATTAATATTTAAATACTTACAGAATGAGAAATGGAAATTTGAATGATATATACTGGAATTGAAATATGTTTTAAAAACACATACACACAGTTTTGTAAATTTTAATAAAACGTGTAATTAGTGGACTCAAAAGCTTTTTAAAATATATACATGTAGTTTTCCTAAACTTCAAACAAAATGTTTCTATTTTGCTAGAAATGGAAATCATTATGAAACTACACAGTCTTTCAATTATATTCTTATATTTTTGTTTGAAAAGTCACTTTTTCTTTTATGAAATCAGTTAATAAATTACTTCACATAAGAGACTTATTTCATACTCAACAGGAAGAAATAATTACTATTTTACCAAAAGGCAGCTTTTAAAAATTATACATGTACTATGAAATTACATATGCAGGTAAAGCTATAGAGTATATA